TGGTAGGCCAAGGCAAGCAGATCACAAGGTCAGGAGTTCAAGACCAGCCTGGCCAACATAGTGAAATCCCATCTCTACTAAAAATACTAAAAATTAGCCGAGTGTGGTTGTGGGTGCCTGTAATCCCAGCTACTCAGGAGGCTGAGGCAGGAGAATCACTTGAACCCAGGAAGCGGAGGTTGCAGTGAGCCGAGATCGCACCATTGCACTCCAGCCCAGGTGACAGTGTGAGACTCCATCTCAAAAAAAAAAAAAAAAAAAGAAAAAGAAAAAGAAAAAGAAAAGTAAACCAGTTTATATAGAATTAAATAGAACCCCTCTGAGGAAATTTTATGGCTTGTGGGGCATGACTCCCCTTGCCCCTTAGATAGGAAGAGAGGGCAAGAGAAGAAAAAGATCAGAGTTTAGTCCTAAGAGCTTAAAGGACCTCTGGAACATCATCAGGTGGACCAACATAGGCATTGTGGGAGTGCCAGAGGAGAACAGAGAGAAAAAGGGGTAGAGAGAATATTTGAAAAAATAATAGTTTCGTTATCTAATTTGATGAAGACATGAATGTGAGCATCCAAGAAGCTCCAAGAACTTCAAATAAGATGAAGTTATGGAGATCCACACCAAGACATTGTACTCAGACTCTCAAAAGCCAGAGATAGAATCTTGAAAGCAGCAAAAGAGAAGTGATTGACATACAAGCAATCCTCAATAAGCTTATCTTTGGATTTCTCATTAGCAACTGTACAAGCCAAAAGGCAGTGGGTCAATATAGTCAGAGTGCTAAAAGAAAAAATAACTGTCAACCAAGAATCCTATATCCAGCAAAACTTTCATTCAAAAATGGGGAAGATGGCCATGCATGGTGGCTCACGCCTGTAATCCCAGCACTTTGGGAGGCTGAGGTGGGTGAATCACAAGGTCAAGAGATCGAGACCATCCTGGCTAACATGGTGAAACCCCGTCTCTACTAAAAAAATGCAAAAAAAAAAAAAAACCAAAAAAAAAAAAAAATGGGGAAGAAATTACGACTTTGCCAGATAAACAAAAGTTGAGGGAGTTCATTACCACTAGACCTCTCCTGCAAGAAATGTTCAGGGGAGTCCTGCAGGGTAAAATGAATACTAGACAGTAGCTTGAAGCCAAATGAATAAAGAGCTCAATAAAGGTAAATACATGGGCAATTATGAAAGCTAGTATTATTGTAACCATGGTTTATAACTCCACATTTTGTTTTCTACATAATTTAAGAGGCTAATGCATTTAAAAGAATTATTAGTTTGTTTTAGGGCACCCAGTGTATAAAGATGTAATTTTTTGAAATCAACAACTGAAAGGGGTAGGAGATGAGCTATTAAATGAGCACAGTTTTTGTATGTTATTGAAGTTAAGCTTGCATAAACCCAAGTTATAGTGTTATAACTTTAGGGTATTAAATGTAATCTCCATGGTACCCACAAAGAAAATAGCTATAGAATATATTTTAAAAGGACACCATAAAGAAATTTAAACATTTCACAACAAAAAATCAACTCAACATTTTTTTTTTTTTTGGCAAGAAATAAGGGACGTAAGAGTTGTCAGGCAGGCATATAGAAAACAAATAGCAGGCCTGGCGCGGTGGCTCAAGCCTGTAATCCCAGCACTTTAGGAGGCCGAGATGGGCAGATCACGAGGTCAGGAGATGGAGACCATCCTGGCTAACACAGTGAAACCCTGTCTCTACTAAAAAATACAAAGAAACTAGCCGGGCGAGGTGGCGGGCACCTGTAGTCCCAGCTACTCGGGAGGCTGAGGCAGGGGAATGGCGTAAACCCGGGAGGCGGAGCTTGCAGTGAGCTGAGATCCGGCCACTGCACTCCAGCCTGGGCGACAGAGCGAGACTCCATCTCAAAAAAAAAAAAAAAAAAAAAAACAAATAGCAAAATGACAGAAGTCCCTCCTTATAGTAATTAAATGTAAGCAGGTTAAATATTCTAACTAAAATATACAGATTGGCAGAATGGGTAAAAAATGATTTAACTATATGCTGTCTTCAAAAGATTCACTTTAGATCCAAAGACAAATAGATTGAAAGTGAAAGGATGGGAAAAGATATTTCACGCAAATAGTAACCAGAAGAGAGCAGGGGTGGCTATACTAATATCAGACAAAATAGATTTTAAAAAAGGTTATAAGAGACAAAGAACAGGGCGTGGGCGCGGTGCCTCACACCTGTAATCCCAGCACTTTGGGAGGCAGAGGTGGGCAGATCATGAGGTCAGGAGTTCAAGACCAGCCTGGCCAACATGGTGAAACCCCATTTCTACTAAAAATACAAAAATTAGCCAGGTGTGGTGGCACATGCCTGTAATCCCAGCTACTCAGGAGGCTGAGGCAGGAGAATCACTTGAACTGGGAGGCAGAGGTTGCAGTGAGCCAAGACTACGCCACTGCACTCCAACCTGGGTGACAGAGCGAGATTCTGTCTCAAAAAAAAAAAAAAAAGACAACAAAGTTATATATTAGTAACAGTTTCAATGTGGCAAGAATGTATAATGATTATAAACATTTACATACCTAATGGCAGACCATAAAACTATATGAAGCATAAAATGACAGAATTGAAAGGCGAAAGACAGTTTTACAATAATAAATGTATCACCCTCTCAGTTATCAGAACAAGTAGAGAGAGATAAGTAAGAAATTAAAGGCAAGGACTTAACACAATAAACCAACTATATCTGAAAGACATAGAACACTTATCCAACAATAGCAGCATACACATTTTCAAGTGCACATGGAACATTTTCCAGAATACATCATATGTCAGAACACAAATTAAGTCTTGGTAGATTTAAAAAGATAAATATCATGCAATGTGTCATCTCAGACCACAATGGAGGAAGTTAGAAATGCTTAACAAAAGTATGATGGGGCTGGATATGGTGGCTCACACTTGTAATCCCAGCACTTTGGAGGCTGAGATGGGCAGATAACTTGAGGTCAGGAGTTTGAGACCAGCCTGGCCAACATGGTGAAACCCCGTGTCTACTAAAAATACAAAAATTAGCTGGGTGTGGTGATGCACGCCTGTAGTCCCAGCTACTTGGGAGGCTGAGGTGGGAGAGTCGCTGGAACCTGGGAAGCGGACGTTGCAGTGAGCCAAGGTCACACCACTGCACTCCAGCCTGGGTAACAGAGTGAGACTCCATCTTAAAAAAAAAAAAAAAAAAAAAAAAAGTGGGAAAAATCTAAAAATTTTGAAAATATAAACAAGACACTCAGAAAAAAGTAGATCAAAAAAAGAAATCACAAGGAAAATTAGAAAATACCAAGAGATGATTGAAAATGTAAACACAGTATAGCAACTTTTGTGATGCAGCAAAAGCAATGCTAAAGGGGGAGTTATAGCTACAAATACATCAAAAACTAAGAAAATCTCAAATTAACAACCTAACTTTACAACTTAATGAACTATAAAAAGAAAAACTAAATCCAAAACTGGCAAAAGGAAGGAAATAATAAAGATTAAAGCCAAGATAAATGAAATAGAAAATAGAAAACGATAGAGAAAATCAATGAAACCAAAAATTGGTTCTTTGAAAACGTCAAAGCATTATTCACAATATCTTGAATAGGTAAGCAAGCCAAGTGTCCATCAACAGGTGAGTGGATAAGCAAAATGTGGCATATCCATACAATGGGATAGTATTCAGTGTTAAAAAGGAAGGAAATTCCACAATGTGCTACAACATGGATGAACCTTGAGAACGTTCTGCTAAGTAAAATAAGTCAGTCACAAGACAAATACTGTATGATTCCACTTTCACAAGTGGTCAAACTCAGAGACACAGAAAGTAGGATGGTGACTGCCAGGAAGTAGAAGGTGGAGAGGAACCGGGAGGTAACCTGTAATGCATACAGTTTGTGTTTCAAGATGAAAGAGTTACAGACATGGATGGCGGTGTTATGAATATACTTACTACCACTGAACTGTACACATAAAGATAGTTAAGACGGTAAATTCTACGGATTTTATTTTTATTTAATTATTTTTTTGAGACAGAGTCTCACTCTGTCTGTGAGTGCAGTGGTGCGATCTCGCTGTAACCTCCGTCTCCCAGGTTCTATGGGATTCTCCTGCCTCAGCCTCCCGAGTAGCTGGGGTTACAGGCGCTCGCCACCACGCCTGGCTAATACTATATTTTTAGTAGAGACGAGATTTCACCAGGCTGGACAGGCTGGTCTCGAACCCTGACCTCAGATGATTCACCCGCCTCGGACTCTCAAAGTGATGGGATTACAAGTGTGAGCCACCGTGCCCGGCCATTGTATAGTTTATTTTTACCACACACACACAAAAGAAATTCGCAACAAGCAAAACTTAAGGGTACAAAGGTAGCAGTGTGAGCTAATTTCAGTCTTTCAAAGCATACAGACTGATAGCATCAGCATTAGAGGTGCGTGCACTTTAATTAGAATTGTGGTAGTAACATTCATAAAACTGAAAACAAAAAACGAAGAAGATAACTTCCGGGAATGGGGACTTTCAGTGGAGGCGGGGTGATGAGAAAAGGAATATTTACTGTCATCCAACAACTTTGTCTTGTACTTTTGTCACAGGTATCACGCCAGTAATATCCCTGAGAATGTATGGGGCAGGTCCAGCTCTTTTTTTTCCTAATAAATTCATTCACACAACAATCAAAAAAGCAAGAAAAGGAAGAGGGGGCCGTTCCGAGGGCCCGGCGGGAGCCCACAGGCCAGACGCGGCTGAACCCTCCCGGACCCAGCGCCCGGGCGCGCGCGGGAAGCGCAGGCGGAGTGGGCACGTGCGGCACTTCCGGGGCGGGGCGGGCGCGCAGCCCTTCCGAAGGCCCGCGCGAGCCGCTAGTTTTGCCCACGCGCTTTTGGCACAGCCGCTCCACGCGATCCGCGATCTGATTGGCCCGCGCGGGAGGGCGCGCGGCGCCAAACTTGCTTCCCGTCAGCCCCCGCCCGTCCCGCGGGAGCGCGCACGCCCGCGCACCCGGATCCCGGCTCTTGCGTCCAGTCGCCATTCGGGAGGCCGCTGCGCTGCAGGGCCTGGCGGAGCCGCCCGCTACCGCGAGCCGGGCCCTCCGCGCGGTTCTTCGCCCACTGGACGCCGCCCGCGGCCGGACCGGTGAGGAGCGAGAGCGAGCGGGGGAGGGGCGTGGTTGGGGCCTGCATCCCTGAGCCCGGTGTCTGCCGCCGACCTGGCGGGGCCGGTCCCGGGAAGCCGCGGGTCCGAGTGAAGGGGGCCTGCGCTGCCTCGCCTCCCACACGGCCCGCGGGAAGGGCCCGCCCCCAGAGGCCGGGGCGGGAGTGCGTCTTTGTGCAGGGAGCGGGGAGGCCCGGTGTCAGTCGCGGCCAAGGCTGGACACATTGCGTTTGAAACCGTTGGGAAGTTGGGGGCAGCACAACACGAAAGCCATTCTTTCCGTTTTAGCTCTAGACTGTCTCCTTTTCTGTCATTATTACTGTTTTAAAATCCGCTATACAGCCTCCAAAATGGAAGAGGACCTTTGTAAATCATAAACCTGATAACGGGTTAATGTCTAGAATACAAGAAAAGATGCAGCTGACCAACAAAAAGCAACCCAGTTCAAGAATGGGCAAGGAATTTGAATAACGTATGTCTCCAGAGAAGATAGACAAATGACCAATAAGCACGTGCAGTGATGCTCAACATCGCTAGCCATTAAGAAAATGCAAATGAAAACCGCAATGAGATACCACCTCACACCAGCTGGGATGGCTATTAACAAAAAATGGGAAATTGTGAGTGTTGGGGATGTGGAGAAATTGAAGCTCGGGTGCATTGCTGGTGGGAATGTAGGGTGGTGCAGCAGCTATGGAAATTGGTAGTCGTTCCTCAATTCTAGATTTATGCCCCCAAAAAATGACAGCAGGGACTCAGATATTTGTTCACAAATGTTCACTGCAGCATTATTCAAAATGCAGATGTCTATCAACATGTGAATGAAAGACAAGCTGTGGTATGTGCGTATAATGGACCATAGTTCATCTTTAGAAAGGAATGAAATGCTGATACACGCTACAATATAAAGGAGCACATTGAACACATTATGTTGAGTGAAATAGGACACAAAAAAGACATACTGTGTGATTCTCCCTCAGGCATAATTGAGATTACCAGCACTGAAAGTGTAGAGTGAGAGTTACTGTATGGGTACAGATTTCTGTTTGTGGTGAAATAGTTCTGGAAGTGGATGGTGGTGATGTTTGCACAACGTTTTAGTACTAAACTAACCAAATTGTGCTTTTAAAAATGATTAAAATGGCAAGTTGTTTTTGTTTTTGATTTTTTGAAACGGAGTTTCGCTTTTGTTGCCCAGGCTGGAGTGCAATGGCCTGACCTTGGCTCACTGCAACCTCCGCCTCCTGGGTTCAAGGGATTCTTCTGCCTCAGCCTCCCAAAGTGCTGAAATTAGAGGCACCCGCCACCATGCCTGGCTAATTCTGTGTTTTTAGTAGAGACAGGGTTTCTCTGTGTTGGTCAGTCTGGTCTCGAACTTCCAACCTCAGGTGATCCACCCGCCTCGGCCTCCCAAAGTGCTGAAATTACATGCATGAACCACCATGCCTGGCCTAAATGGCAAGTTTTTTGTTCTATTTTACCACTCTTTAAAAAATACACATGAAAAAGCAAAATGACGGAGACAGTGAAAAGATGAGTGGTTGTTGGGAGCACAGGGATGTTAAGCAGTGAAATTGTTAGTAGTGGATACGTGATGCTATGCATTTGTTGAAACACATAGAACTGCACATCATGAAAAGTGATTCCTTGGTGGGGCGCTGTGACTCACGCCTGTAATCTCAACACTTTGGGAGGCCGAGGTGGGCGGATGACGAGGTCAAAAGATCGAGACCATCGTGGGTAACATGGTGAAACCCTGTCTCTACAAAAAATACAAAAATTAGCCGGGCATGGTGGCGCTCACCTGTAGTCCCAGCTACTGGGGAGTCTGAGGCAGGAGAATCGCTTGAACCTGGGAGGTGGAGATTGCAGTGAGCCGAGATTGTGCCACTGCACTCCAGCCTGGCAACAGCACCAGACTCTCTCTCAAAAAGATAAAGAATAAATAAAAAATAATTACTTCTTGTGTAAACTATAGACTTAATACTAAATCAATATTAGCTCATCATTGTAGCAGATGTCTCACACTAATGCAAGAAGATGTTAATACAGGTTGAGTATCCTTCATTCAAAATGCTTGGAACCAGAAGTGCTTTGAATTTTTTTTATTTTTATTTTTAATAGTTACATTGTACTTACTGGTTGAACATCCCTAATCTGAAATCTAAAATGCTTCTTTTGGCCCTCAAAAAGTGTTGGATGTTGGAGCATAATCAGATTTCAGATTTTCAGATTAGGGATGCTCAGCCTATATAATAGGAGAAACTGGGGGCAAGAAGATAGGTGGGAATTCTTGTACATACCCTTCAGTTTTTCTTTAAACATAAAACTACTTGAAAAATTAGTTTATTAATTTCTTTTTTGGGTGGGGGGCGGGTATGGAGTCTTACTCTGTTGCCCAGCTGGAGTGCAATGGCTCAATCTCGGCTCACTGCAACCTCCATCTCCCAGGTTCAAGCGATTCTCTTGCCTCAGCCTCCCGAGTAACTGGGATTATAGGTGTGTGCCACCACGCACAGCTAATTTTTGTATTTTTAGTAGAGACAGGGTTTCACCATGTTGGCCAGGCTGGTCATGAACTCCTGTCTTCAAATGATCCATCTGCCTTAGCCTCCCAAAGTGTTGGGATTACAGGTGTGAGCCACTGCACCTGCCCGGTTTATTAATTTCTTAAAGGCCAGGCATGGTGGCTCACACCTGTAATCCCAGCACTGAGAGGCCAAGGCAAGAGGATCACTTGAGGCCAGGAGTTCAAGACCAGCCTGGACAACATAGTGAGACCTCATCGCTACAGAAAAAAAAAAACAAAAACTAGATGTGGTGGCATGCACCTATAGTCCCAACTACTTAGGAGGGTGAGGCGGGAGGCTCTCTGGAGCCCAAGAGTATGAGGCTGCAGTGAGTTGTGATTGTGTCACTGCACCAAAACCTTGGGCAACAGAGCGAGACCCTGTCTCTTAAATTAAAAAAAAAAAAAAATCCGCTAAGATAAAGAACAATGCTAGTGTGTATAGACTAATAGAACCCACTTAGCTTTAAACATGTTCTACATATTGAATTTTAATTAAAAAAAACTATGCATCAGATGTGTTTTAAAAGATGATCAGTGGTGTTAGATTTCAAAGAAGAAATGGAATGGGAAATGGGAAATAGGTATGATACACCATATGGCATAACATTGCATTGGAGAATACTGGGTGACAGACTGGCAGAGCACCAATTATTAGAATTTGGGTTTTTTGGAGACAAGGCATAATCTTTCTGAAAGACAAAAAGAAATTTTTGTTAATCTGGACAATTCTGAGTTAATTTTTAGTTAGGGTTAGCAGTTCTTAAATTTAGGAAGAAATTTTGCTAGAGCCTTAAAGCTGGAAGGATGCCCAGCTCTCTAGGCTTTGCCTAAAAGCTGAATTCTGGGACTCAGTTCTGTAACACCTTTGTAGATCGTTCTGCTACTGTGAGAAAGAGACCAGAATTGAGAAAACCAGAATAAACCAACTGTTTCCTCTGACCTCAGTGTTGTGATCTTTGACAGGTCACTTCTTTCCCTCAGCATCAGTCTTTACAGTTATGAAATGAAGAGGTCGAACTCAAGCCCTCTGAAGATCCTTCTAGTCCTATGCTGATCATCAGTGGTTTTTTTTTGGTTGGTTTTTTGGTTTTCTTTTTTGAGACAGGGTCTCACTCTGTCATCTAGGTTGGAGTGTAATGGTGCAGTCTTGGTTCGCTGCAACCCCTGCCTCTTAGGCTCAAGCGATTTGTCTTGGCTCAGCCTCCCAAGTAGCTGGGACTACAGGTGCATTCTGCTGCACCCAGCTAATTTTTGTATGTTTTGTAGAGACGGGGTTTTGCCATATTGCCCAGGGTGTTCTTGAACCCCTGAGCTCAAGGGATCCACCTGCCTCAGCCTCCCAGAGTGCTGGGATTACAGGTGTGAGCCACCACACCCGGCCTGATCGTCAGCTTCTAATTATGGAGTACTCCTACCTAACAAAGGAACTCATTCTAGTTCATAATAGAGTAGTTTGTAAACTGTGTTGAGCCACAATTCTTTTCCTGCTAGCTTCTGATTATCACTTCTAGGATAGCTCATATATTATCTATAATTCTTACCCTTTTGAAGTTAAATGTCTGTATTCATAAATGACTTTTTTTTTTTTTAAAGGGCCATCCGCCATCCTGGTTGCCTTTTTTTCTTTTTCTTTTTCTTTTCTTTTTTTTTATGTTCTCTAGTTTCTTAGAGACTCTCTTAAAGTGTCCTTCCTGCCCAGAGCTGGGGACAGTGATCCACTGGTATGGTGTACTCTGCCCATGCAGAATATGGGATATAGTTCTCTATAGTCCTGTATTTATGCACTTGATATGTGGATTCTAAGTGTTTGTTTCATCTTGTTTCTTTTGGCCTATTGTACAGACTGTAAAAGAGCTACTAAATTCCACTGTTTTAGTTTGTGTATATGTAGAAAAAACCTGGACAGAACTTGATTCTGTCCAGTATCTGATGAAGATACTGATCATTTGTCTGACTTGGGCAAGCTGTTTAATGTCAAGCTTGAGTTTCCTTAACTATTAATTGAAGTTTTAAAGTAGATGATCCCTGAGGTCTTTTCCTATCCCCAAATCCTATACTTTGAGACTAGATAGTAGCTTAGGTTTTCCTCTAGTTTTAAAATCCTGTGAGTCAAAGATTGAGAGAACGTTAGGATTGAACAGAGCGCATGCTGTGTGCCAGGGATGTGCAGCGGTTCCAGAGGTGAATAAATGGTAGTCCCTCCTCTCCAGGAGCTGGCAACCTGTTGTTGGTATCAGGCTGTAGTGCCAGAGGGTGACATATACAGCTGGGGCTTCTAGGAAGATTGGGAGGGAGTGGAAAATTGGCCAGTGCAGTTGACGCATGAATAACAGAGGTTTGAACTTCAACCAAATGCCAATAAAAAAAGACAGCATTGGCCAGGCGCAGTGGCTCAAAGCCTGTAATCCCAGCACTTTGGGAGGCCGAGACGGGCGGATCACGAGGTCAGGAGATCGAGACCATCCTGGCTAACACGGTGAAACCCCATCTCTACTCAAAAAATACAAAAAAACTAGCCGGGCGAGGTGGCGGGGCGCCTGTAGTCCCAGCTACTCGGGAGGCTGAGGCAGGAGAATGGCATAAACCCGGGAGGTGGAGCTTGCAGTGAGCTGAGATCCCGCCACTGCACTCCGGCCTGGGTGACAGAGTGAGACTCCGTCTCAAAAAAAAAAACAAAAAAAAACAGCATTTACAGAATGTGAGACATTTATATGGAGGGCAGGTTTTTCATATATGGGAATTCCACAAGGCTGACTGTAGGACCTGAGTATGTGTGGATTTTGGCATATGGGAGTGGTCCTGGAACCAATCCCGTGTTTACAGGGAGACAGCTGACTTAAAAAGCCATCCTGCCTAAAGGCCAGGCAAGACAGGGAGTGTAAAGGAGAGGAAATAGTTTATACAAAGGCCCAGATGCTGGAATAGTCAGGGAATTACATGTGGGCCAGTATTTTGAGAATGCAGTCTGGTCATGGGCCAGACTGTGAAGAGCTTTATATGCCATATTCAAATCGTGTAGTGTAGGTGTCTTAGTTGACTTGGAGGAAATGTGAACAGGCAGGTCACATTAGGCTTCTGTTTGGAAGACAGGTTTGGTAGCTGGAAGAAAGGGAGACTAGTGGCAGGAAGTTCAGATGTCAGAATTAAAGCAGTGACGGGGTGGGGGATAGAGAAGGGGTAGATGAATGTGCTGGAGCTAATGAGAAGCACAGTGTGCGCTGTTGTGTAGCTTGTGCACAGCCAGTTTATCACATTCTGTTCTTGTCAGCAGACTCATCTACACCATGATGCTTTATCTTTGAAATGCATGCAGGAAGAGAAGAGGGCAGAGCAATCACTGAAGGAGGTCCATGTGTTCTTCTTTGGGGTCAGGACACCGCCATCCTCCCCCGGAGTCCTTTCTTTTTGTACCTCTTGGTCCTGTTTGTTATGGTGTCCCTTCCTCCACTGCCTGTTAATTTGTCACTCTGCTGTGTAATATCGATAACTGACAAAAGTCAGCCATTGTTAGCATCAGTAGTCACACCAGCAGTCTTCTGAGTGCTTATCAGAGAAGTGAAGTTAGGTGGTTGGTTTGAGAAGGATATGATTACACACATGGTCATAATTCCATAGTGGATTACTAAAGAGAAAGTAGACAAAGATGGTGTCAGGAGTGGTATCTACTGTAGTCTTTGGTGTCATTTCATAAAAGTAAGTGTTCAGGCCTGTACAGTGGCTCACGCCTGTAATCCCAGCGCTTTGGGAGGCCAAGGCGGGTGGATCACGAGGTCAGGAGATTGAGACCATCCTGGCTAACACGGTGAAACCTCGTCTCTAATAAAGATACAAAAAAATTTGCTGGGTGTGGTGGCGGGCACCTATAGTCCCATCTGCTCAGGAGGCTGAGGCAGGAGAATGGCGTGAACCCGGGAGGCGGAGCTTGCAGTGAGCCGAGATCGTGCCACTGCACTCCAGCCTGGGCTGGACAGAGCGAGACTCTGTCTCAAAAAAAAAAAAGTAAGTGTTCAGGCTTAGTGGATTGGACTCCTCTCACTGTTAGGGCAGGATGGTGAGCGAAATACACAGAATTCCATTACAGGGGACACACATGATCACAGACACAGTTTTGATCACTTTTTTTTTTTTTTCCCCCCAGGTTCAACTTCTCGTCTTGTTGTTCCTCTTATACTATAGGCTGTTTGCTGTGGTGTAGTCAAAAAGCCATGTAGAATGCCTGCCTTTTGAAGACCAATTTTAAGGTGTCTAGTAATACAGCAGGTAAGTCTAGTAGGGAAAGCATGCTTAGGAGAATATTTTATGAGGAGAAAATTAAAAAAAAAATACTTGGAGTTCTTGAAGGAAATCTCTAAAAGTATACACGCCCTTATGGATATAACGTGTGATGTGCGCTAGATATACATAATTTGGGATATGAGAAGTGAATTCTATAGCATTCTTTTTAGGTTTAAGTATGAGATTGGCCTGAAGAGCTGATGGTAGGCAGCGGGAAGAGGAGGGCTGGCTGGGAGGGATGGGGAATGGTAGGTGAGTCTGACTGAAACCCAGCACACCTGAGGTCTTAGTCTCTGTTGTAATTACAGTATGTAATATAGTGCTCTTTAATGTTAGCTTGGCTGTTCATTATTGCCAGTTATAGCTGCATGGGATTATTGAGACCTATCCTCCGGTTTCCCTTAAAGTCTTCTAGTTTTATTTAACAATGGGCTCTGAGACGGATGGTTAACCCATTATTTCTACATGTATTGAATTACGTTTGTAAGTTAAAGATCATTTTTAGAGATTTTTCTTCAGTACTGAATTATTTTTCTTTTGTTACAGTCCTAGTCCTAAAAACAATATTCTAAAATACAGAATAACTGCTGGCAACGCAGAAAGAGTAAATAGTTTCCGAAGAAAAGTATTTATTTCCTCAAATACCTGTCACCTTTTTAGCTTTAGACCAAAAAATAAAAAAGGCAAATGATATACCATGGATAAAAGTGTTAGGAGGCCGGGCATGGTGGCTCAAGCCTGTAATCCCAGCACTTTGGGAGGCCGAGACGGGCGGATCACGAGGTCAGAAGATCGAGACCATCCTGGCTAACACGGTGAAACCCCGTCTGTACTAAAAAATACAAAAAACTAGCCGGGCGAGGTGGCGGGCACCTGTAGTCCCAGCTACTTGGGAGGCTGAGGCAGGAGAATGGCGTAAACCCAGGAGGTGGAGCTTGCAGTGAGCTGAGATCACGCCACTGCACTCCAGCCTGGGCGACAGAGCAAGACTCTGTCTCCAAAAAAAAAAAAAAAAAAAAGTGTTAGGAAACAGTATTGTCATTGAGAACGTCTTTAAAAACAAGTTATCAAAGTTAGAAATATTATACTTTTTTTTTTTTTGAGACGCAGTCTCGCTCTGTCACCAGGCGGGAGTGCAGTGGCACAATCTCATTTCACTGCAACCTCCAACTCCCTGGTTCAAGCGATTCTCCTGCCTCAGCCTCCCAAGTAGCTGGGACTACAGGCACACACCACCATGCCTGGCTGATTTTTGTATTTTTAGTAAGAGACGGGGTTTCACCATGTTGGCCACGTTGGTCTTGATCTCCCGACCTTGTGATCCACCCACCCGGCCTCCCAAGTGCTGAGATTACAGGTGTGAGCCACTGCGCCCGGCCTATATATTTTTTAAAATTAATGGTTTTGTAATTAATAAAGGGAGAGCCAGAGTTTCTAATCTGTACTATTCTTTGAGAAGCAGTAAATATCATTACCATCAATAAGGGAAAGTGTTCAGTCTCATTAAGAGAAGCACATTAACACAGTAGTGAAATACTGGCTTTCACCTAGGTTGTAGCAAGGATTAGGAATTCATAGGAAATTGTCTCTCATATATACACTGTTGTTATGCAGTAATATAAGTTTTTGAGAGTTTGGTAAAATGGATCAATTTTAAACACAAATGGCTAAGTAATCCATTTCTAGGAATTTTTCCTGCAGAAATAGCCTTACATGCAAAGATAAGTACAAGGAAAGTCAGTGCTTACTCCATATGTAAAAATGTAAAAATTAAAGAGATGAATTCTAAATGAGAGTAAGTTGCCAGATAATATGTTTAATATCCCATTTGTGTAAAGCATGTGTGTTAATCAATATATGCCTAGGACATTTCTTCCAGGACACGAGTACACTGGCTAGCCCTGCAGACTGACACTCCGTATCTTGTACTGTGTGAATGTGTTTTTTATTATTTTTTATATATATATTTTAAGTTCTAGGGTACATGTGCACAACGTGCAGGTTTGTTACGTATATATACATGTGCCATGTTGGTGTGCTGCACCCATTAACTCGTCATTTACATTAGGTATATCTCCTAATGCAATCCCTCCCCCTTCTCCCCTCCCCCCTCCCCACAATAGGCCCTGGTGTGTGATGTTCCCCTTCCCGAGTCCAAGTGATCTCATTGTTCAGTTCCCACCTATGAGTGAGAACATGCGGTGTTTGGGTTTCTGTTCTTGCGATAGTTTGCTGAGAGTGATGGTTTCCAGCTGCATCCATGTCCCTACAAAGGACATGAACTCATCCTTTTTTATGGCTGCATAGTACTCCATGGTGTATATGTGCCACATTTTCTTAATCCAGTCTGTCATTGATGGACACTTGGGTTGGTTCCAAGTCTTTGCTATTGTGAATAGTGCTGCAGTAAACATACGTGTGCATGTGTCTTTATAGCAGCATGATTTATAATCCTTTGGGCATATACCCAGTAATGGGATGGCTTGGTCAAATGGTACTTCTAGTTCTAGATCCTTGAGGAATCGCCACACTGTTTTCCAGTGGTTGAACTAGTTTACAGTCCCATCAACAGTGTAAAAGTGTTCCTATTTCTCCACATCCTCTCCAGCACCTGTTGTTTCCTGACTTTTTAATGATTGACATTCTTACTGGTGTGAGATGGTATCTCATTGTGGTTTTGATTTGCATTTCTCTAATGGCGAGTGAGGAGCATTTTTTCATGTGTCTGTTGGCTGTATGAATGTCTTCTTTTGAGAAGTGTCTGTTCATGTCCTTTGCCCACTTTTTGATGGGGTTGTTTGTTTTTTTCTTGTAAATTTGTTTGAGTTCTTTGTAGGCTCTGGATATTAGCCCTCTTTGTCAGATGAGTAGATTGCAAAAATTTTCTCCCATTCTGTAGGTTGCCTGTTCACTCTTATGGTAGTTTCTTTTGCTGTGCAGAAGCTCTTTAGTTTAATTAGATCCCATTTGTCAATTTTGGCTTTTGTTGCCATTGCGTTTGGCGTTTTAGACACGAAGTACTTGCCCATGCCTATGTCCTGAATGGTACTACCTAGGTTTTCTTGTAGGGTTTTAATGGTTTTAGGTCTAACATTTAAGTCTCTAATCTATCTTGAATTAATTTTCGTATAAGGAGTAAGGAAAGGATCCAGTTTCAGTTTTCTACTTATGGCTAGCCAATTTTCCCAGCACCATTTATTAAATAGGGAATCCTTTCCCCATTTCTTGTTTTTCTCAGGTTTGTCAAAGATCAGATGGCTGTAGATGTGTGGTATTATTTCTGAGGGCTCTGTTCTGTTCCATGTGAATGTGTTTTTAACTGTGAGCTTCTGTTCCTTTTACTGCTTAAGAAGACTGGTTTACAATTTTTTTTTATTCATGTTTTCCGGCAACTGTGTTCCAGCTGCCGGCACGTCCTGTGATTTGCCCTTTGCTTGGTGTGCGCCTTCACATCATTCAGGATCTCTGCTGGAATGTCCCATGCGTAGAGGTCTTTTCCAACAGCCTCTCACATCACTTTCCACCTTATTTTCCCAACTCATGAACGCCATATTACAAAGCACTGCTTTAAACCTAGGTGCCTAGAAAATTATAGGGTACAAAGTTATTTATTTATTAAATGAATTAATAAAATACTATATTGGGATAGATTAAACATTGCAAAATATGTTGACGTGAAATCAAGCCAGCATCATATTTTAAAGTCGTGTTTTTATAGCTAGATTAAATTTATTAAGTGCTTTCTGCAAAAGGTTTAGTCTCTTGTTCATCCTTAAATAACCAAGATTTAATTTTGATATTCACTCGTCTTTGTGTGCCGAGGACTTGTGTACTGGAGTTTGAGAGTCACACTATAAAGCACATGCAACAGCTAATTCTAGAGTGAGGCCCAGATCACTGATAGTCCTATGGCCTGGACCAGAGAAAGTCACGTAAATTCTCTGAACCTGTTTCTTCATCTGTAAGTGAAAATAATAGTTGAGTCGTATCCTTAGGATTAAATGAGATGATGTATGTGAAACTCCTAGCACAGTGCCTGGGACTGTTCTCTGTCTCCTTTTCTTCAAATTCTCCCTAGAGATACTACCAAATAAAGCACGCACAGTTCTAGACTTAAGATTATGCAGTTATAGAATGGACTTACAGCATTTTATTCAGAATTACAGTTCATGAAAATAATTTATTCCTACTTTATTGCAGCGGTATTGAAAGTTTTTAAAGAATATAACCGTGTGTGTTGGTAACAGAAAGAAGAATGGAAGTATTCCAGGAACTTCGTAAACCATCAGCACGTTTGGAGTGTGACCATTGCAGTTTCAGAGGCACAGATTATGAAAATGTACAGATCCATATGGGTACCATCCATCCAGAATTTTGTGATGAAATGGATGCTGGTGGCCTAGGCAAAATGATATTTTACCAGAAAAGTGCAAAGCTATTTCACTGCCATAAATGCTTCTTCACCAGCAAGATGTACTCTAACGTATACTATCACATCACATCCAAACATGCATCCCCAGACAAATGGAATGATAAACCAAAAACTCAGTTGAACAAAGAAACAGATCCTGTGAAAAGCCCTCCTCTTCCTGAACACCAGAAAATACCCTGCAATTCTGCAGAACCAAAACCCATACCTGCCCTTTCAATGGAAACACAGAAACTTGGTTCAGTTTTGTCTCCAGAATCACCAAAACCTACTCCTCTTACTCCCCTGGAGCCTCAGAAACCTGGCTCTGTTGTTTCTCCTGAGCTACAGACACCTTCTCTTCCTTCTCCTGAGCCTTCAAAACCTGCCTCTGTTTCTTCTCCTGAACCTCCAAAACCAGTCCCTGTTTGTGAATCTCAGAAACCTGCCCCTGTTCCTTCTCCAGAACCACAGAAACTTGCCCCTGTATCTCCTGAGCCCGTAAAGGCTACTCTTCCTAATCCCAAACCCCAGAAGCACTCTCATTTCCCAGAAACACTGGGCCCACCTTCAGCCTCATCTCCAGAGTCACCAGTTCTAGCTGCTTCCCCAGAACCTTGGGGACCATCCCCAGCTGCATCTCCAGAATCTCGGAAATCAGCCCGGACTACCTCCCCTGAGCCAAGGAAGCCATCCCCTTCAGGGTCTCCTGAACCTTGGAAGCCATTCCCTGCTGTCTCCCCAGAGCCTAGGAGACCAGCCCCTGCTGTGTCACCAGGTTCTTGGAAGCCAGGGCCACCTGGGTCCCCTAGGCCTTGGAAATCCAGTCCTTCAGCGTCATCAGGACCTTGGAAGCCAGCTAAACCTGCTCCATCTGTGTCTCCTGGACCTTGGAAACCAATTCCTTCTATATCTCCTGGACCTTGGAAACCAACTCCATCTGTGTCTTCTGCATCCTGGAAATCTTCATCAGTCTCACCCAGCTCCTGGAAGTCCCCCCCTGCATCTCCTGAGTCATGGAAGTCTGGCCCACCAGAACTCCGAAAGACAGCTCCCACGTTGTCTCCTGAACATTGGAAGGCAGTTCCCCCAGTGTCTCCAGAGCTTCGCAAACCCGGCCCACCACTATCCCCAGAGATCCGTAGTCCAGCAGGATCTCCAGAGCTCAGAAAACCCTCAGGGTCACCAGACCTTTGGAAGCTTTCTCCTGATCAGCGGAAAACTTCTCCTGCTTCACTTGATTTCCCTGAGTCCCAGAAAAGTTCCCGTGGCAGTTCTCCTGATCTCTGGAAGTCTTCCTTTTTTATTGAGCCTCAGAAACCTGTCTTCCCTGAGACCCGAAAACCAGGTTCTTCTGGGCCATCTGAGTCCCCCAAAGCAGCCTCAGATATCTGGAAGCCAGTTCTCTCTATCGATACTGAGCCTAGAAAACCTGCCCTGTTTCCCGAGCCTGCCAAAACAGCCCCTCCTGCTTCTCCAGAACCACGCAAACGTGCCCTTTTTCCAGAGCCCCGGAAGCATGCCCTTTTCCCTGAACTCCCCAAATCTGCTCTATTCTCAGAATCACAGAAGGCTGTTGAGCTTGGTGATGAACTACAAATAGATGCCATAGATGATCAAAAATGTGATCTTTTGGTTCAGGAAGAACTTCTAGCTTCACCTAAGAAACTTTTGGAAGATACTTTATTTCCTTCCTCAAAGAAGCTCAAGAAAGACAACCAAGAGAGCTCAGATGCTGAGCTTAGTAGTAGTGAGTACATAAAAACAGATTTGGATGTGGTGGATGTTAAGGGCCAGGAATCAAGCAGTGATCAAGAGCAGGTTGATGTGGAATCCATTGATTTTAGCAAAGAGAACAAAATGGACATGACTAGTCCAGAGCAGTCTAGAAATGTGCTACAGTTTACTGAAGAAAAAGAAGCTTTTATCTCTGAAGAGGAGATTGCAAAATATATGAAGCGTGGAAAAGGAAAGTATTATTGCAAAATTTGTTGCTGTCGTGCTATGAAAAAAGGTGCTGTTTTGCATCATTTGGTTAATAAGCATAATGTTCATAGCCCTTACAAATGCACAATTTGTGGAAAGGCTTTTCTTTTGGAATCTCTCCTTAAAAATCATGTAGCAGCCCATGGGCAGAGTTTACTTAAATGTCCACGTTGTAATTTTGAATCAAATTTCCCACGAGGTTTTAAGAAACATTTAACTCACTGTCAAAGCCGGCATAATGAAGAGGCAAATAAAAAGCTAATGGAAGCTCTTGAACCGCCACTGGAGGAGCAGCAAATTTGATAGCTCAGTATGAATATTTGTTCTACAAAGGTGTTTGTTGAAACCATTCTTTGTAAGTATAGCTTATCAAATAGCCTAGTTGGATATGTAGATGACGTGTGGTGTACCGTGTTTCACTGTCTGAGTTGTGTTACTAAGAATGAGCATTTCATTATTTTTTTCTGGTCTCTCTCTGTGGCTATCTTGTAAGTCAATCAATTTCTATATAGTCCAGATGGATTAAACTTCTCATTTCTTTTAAATATGTATGAATAATAAATCAAGGAAGTAGGCATTCCATTTAATAATCAAGAGCAAGTTGTACTCAAAGCATTCAGCTAAAGTATATCTGTGTGTGGAACTAATTTCAGATAATAGAAAATATTAGTTGAAATGTTTAAGAATTAGGCATGAAAAATAAATTTGAGAAATTTTGTTTCCTCACATGTATTTTTAAATCATAAGAGTTATTTTCTATCTGATGTAAAATTAGTTTATAAATCTTAATCAGCTTCTAGATGTTTATTAGCTTTTATGTCATGAAATGTTGGAGTCTCAGGGTTGCTGATTGTCTGCTAATGGGAAAAATTGAGTAAGTCTTTAAAATAGTTTGCAGCCTTCTCCCACAGGAGACAAGTGAACGATAAGTGTGATTTTAGATCTTTTTTGTCCATAGTTGTTTTCAGTGGAGTCTTCCATTCTATATCTTACCCTAAGATCTGGTTCTTCCCTCCCCATCCCCATCCCAGCCCCCACCCGCCAGCTCACACTAATAGATGATTCTTAATTGCCAAATGTGTTAGAGTTTGTATGTCCTACTCCTGGGCCTTACATGTCGCCTGTTGGGGCTTAAGACCAGGTTAATAAGTAGGAACTGAAAGTCTTCCAGGTTCACAGTAGAAAATTTTATAGACATTTCTGTTAAAGAAATATATCGATTTTATGTTTTTCAGTTCTGTTACTGTAAATACCTTGTACCTGTTCATGGATTATTTTATTCTAAAGTATTTTGTCAAATGTGTATCAACCAAATTAAAAAAGAAAGGCTTTCGTGTCAGCAACATTTTCATGTGTGGTTTGTTTTGTGTAATTTGCATTGTATGATATACAAATCCATTATTTCCATGTTTTCAACATAGGAGTTTTCTTATCTGGAGCAGCATTTTCTTAGCTGTGTTTTCTCCAAGTTCTGTGGTCAGGTAAGTTAGGGGAATGCTTGTATAGGGAGGACTCCATGTGAAAAATCTCATCCTTTCAAATGAAAGGTTTTTTAATTCCAGTGGTTGCCTATCCTGCCTGCCTCTAAACAGTGTGAGGCATTTAATCTCAGAGCATTCTGATGTGTAGCCAGGATTGAGATGCTGTACTGGATTTAATTTAGCTATTCCCAGACATTTTTTTAACAATGAACAGTTTTGTCCTAGTTCCCCACTGGCTGGCTTTCCTATTAATATGCCCGTTGGGATATCTTAACAATATTTAGTGATGTGGTTTGGCTCTGTGTCAAATCTCTCTCTTTTTTTATTTTGAGACCGATCCTTGCTCTGTCACCCAGGTTGCCCTGCAGTGGTGTGATCTTAGCTCACTGCAACCTCCGCCTTTCAGGTTCAAGGGAGTCTCGTGCCTCAGCCTCCTGAGTAGCTGGGACTACAGGTGTGTGCCACCATGTCTAGCTAATTTTTGTAGTTTAATAGAGATGGGGTTTTGCCATGTTGGCCAGGCTGGTCTCGAACTCCTGGGCTCAAGTGATCCACCTGCCTCAGCTTCCCAAAGTGCTGGGGTTACAGCTGTGCGCCACCACACCCGACCCCCACCCAAATCTCCTGCTGAATTGTAATCCCCAGTGTTGGAGGAGGGGCCAGCCTGGTGATAAATGATTGGATCATGGGGACGGACTTCCTCTTGGTGTTCTCGTGATAGTGTGTGAGTTATTTAAAAGTGTTTAGCACCTTCCCCTTCGCTCTCTTCCTCCTGCTCCAGCCCTGTTGGATGTGCCAGCTTCCCCTTCGCCTTCTGCCATGATTGTAAGTTTCCTGAGCCTCCCCGCCTCCTGCTGCAGCCGTGTTTCCTCCGCAGCGTGTGGAACCATTAGCTAATTAAACCTCTTTTCTTTATAAATTACCCGGTCTCAGGTAGTTCTTTGTAGCAGTGTGAGAACAGACTAATCCATTTAGATAATACCAAGTAAGGTCTTAGAAGCCTCAAATCTGTTAGCTTTGGTGAACACTGCACTGAGTAGCTGCTGCTATCAGTTTACATGGCACCTTGAGAACGAGCTTCCAGATGAGTTCCCTTGTAGGCAGTGATGCCAACAGGTAGGACAGGTAAGATATCTTGGTTATACTAGTTGTCCTTTTCTTGTCCATACTGACTGACTTTGTTTTTGAGAAACAAAAAGGGTCTGCATTACCTAGAAACTGTCCTAGCTCCTGCACCCTCAGACCAACCCTGTTAGACAGATGCTTTCCTAAGACTTCACCCTGTCTGGTGCAAACCTGGCAGTTCATCCTAGACCTTTGCTCCAGGTGGCACCAACTAAGTCACATGCGTTGCCATCTGAAATGGGGTTTTTTATAATAGTGCCATAGGATAAGGGCTGACTTCCCGGTAAGTGGTAGTGATGCATGTGTAGTTTTGGCTTTAAGGCCTGAGCTGTATTTGGCTAAACCCCTGTGTTCTTGGTTTACCTCAGTGTGGCTTCCACTTTTTTTTTTTTTTTTTTTTTTTTGAGAGACTGTTTTTTGCTCTTGTTGCCCAGGCTGGAGGGCAGTGGTGTGATCTCAGCTCACCACAAACTGCCTTCCAGGTTCAAGTGATTCTCCTGCCTCAGCCTCCCAAGTAGCTGGAATTACAGGTGCCCGCCACCACGCCCAGCTAAATTTTTGTATTTTTAGTAGAGACGGGGTTTTACCATGTTGGCAAGGCTGGTCTCGAATTCCTGACCTCAGGTGATCCACCCGCCTTGGCTTCCCAAAGTGGAGGATGGAGACATATTTAAAAGCACTGAGCACAAAGGAGGCACCCTATCCTTGGTAGCAATTATTATCCTTCCGATTTAATATATATCATTCACTAGTTTGTTTAAATAATTTGTGAACCAGTTTATATTTTCAAGTTGCCATGTGTTTTAGGGTTCTCCAGAGAGTCAGAACCAATAGGAGATACATAGATATAGATATGGTATAGAATGGTAACCAGCATTCTACTTTGTTTTTATGAGTCTGACTTTTCTAGATTCCACATACAAGTGAGATTATGCAGGATTTGTCTTTCTGTGTCTGGTTTATTTTACTTAACATAATGTCCTCCAGATTCATCCATGTTGCCGTAAGTGACAGGATTTTCTTCTTTTCAGACTGAATAGTATTTCATCGTGTGTGTGTATATATATACACACAATTTACTGAGCAGGGAGATCTGCAGACTCTCTTGGCTCCCAGAATGCTGGGGTCAGGCTTGCAGTCTTAAACAGGAAATTGGTGAACTCTTTGGAGAGGATCTGCAGATACCAACAGTTTCAGGGTTTTCTAAGGTCCAGGAGTGCCAGGCTCCTGTGCACTCTTCCTTTGGGGAAGCAAAGGAAGACTCCATCTGTGCACACAGAATATATTAATTATACTTTCTTGTTTTCTGTTTTCTTGATGCTCTGGCATCTGGGGTTTACTGGGAAAAGACTGCCTTTTCCAGGGCCAGGCAATTAAACTACCAATCCAGAATCCATACTCCTAACCACCTACTTTATCTGTATATGTATTATCTTTTTATATATACACACACACTACATTTTCTTTATCAGTTCATTCATTGATGGACACGGGTAAATTCCATATTTTGGTTATTGTGAGTAATGCTGCAATGAACATGGGAATGCAGCTGTTTCTTTGGGATCCCGATTTCATTTTTCTGTGGATAAACACCCAGAAATGAGATAGCTCTTCATTACACTCTGTGAAAGGCCCTAAAAGCTACCACACCCGTAGGTGAAATTACCGGATTAGTGAAAATAAGCTGTATCTCTCCACCCAAAGTTTTCTTCCCATGCTCTTAGCATTCCTGGTCCTAGTGCCAATGCTTTATTAGCATTAGAAAATTATTTCTCTTTAATCAGGAAAGCCACGCTCAGGCTGTTGCAAATCATCCACTTTGAACAGGCCTGTAACAAGCCTAGACTAGATACAAGTAATTAATAAGAGGCAGGGTTGGGCGCGGTGGCTCAAGCCTGTAATCCCAGCACTCTGGGAGGCCGAGGCGGGTAGATCATGAGGTCTGGAGTTCAAGACCAGCTTGGCCAATATGGCGAAACCCCGTCTCTACTGAAAATACAAAAACTAGCTGGGTGTGGTGGTGCGCACCCGTAGTCCCAGCTACTCGGGAGGCTGAGACAGGAGAATCGCTTGAACCCGGGTGGTGGAGGTTGCAGTGAGCCGAGATCGTGCCACTGCATTCCAGCCTGGGCAACAGAGCAAGACTCTGTCTAAATAAATAAATAAATGCAGGTAAAATAATTAAGCAATAAACACAATTGGCAGTGGTCATCCAGAGGACTGTGACTTCCCTGAGGAGGACGTGTGAAGAAACCAGGTAATAACCCGAAGACATCAAGGAGTTCAAGTGACCCCATTATTCATTATTCGTTAATCTGTTCTCGGGCCAAGACGGGTTAGTGCCTCCCACTTCCATGGAGATAGCCGACTGTATCTTCTAACTTCCATGGAGATAGCCGACTGTATAAAGACAGGCTGTGTGGGGGTGGGATTTCAAGGACTCTCAGCACTTTTGTATTTGCTACTTTACTGAGTTGGATACAGGCAATAAGGTCTCCATTTGACTTGCGAGGGGCTGAGGCACTGTGATATTCACAAATACAAGTATACTACTGGGTACAATGGACCTGATGGGCATTGTGATTTGGTTAAATTTTTGTTGGTAGATGGCTATAAATAACAGAGCAACTACCTGCTCTGGTTTGCCCATGACTGTCCCAGCAACTTGGGATGACTGGTCACCCAGAACAGCCATTCTTAGAGCACAGGGTGCCCCCAACATCACTGTGTTTGCAGGTGCCAACCTTTGATCCCTACAGCTGCCTTTTTTTTTTTTTTTTCCCCGAGATGGAGTCTAGCTCTGTCGCCCAGGCTGGAATCTGGAATGCAGTGGTGCAGTGTCAGCTCACTGCAAGCTCTGCCTCCCAGGTTCACGCCTTTCTCCTGCCTCAGCTCCCGAGCAGCTGGGACTGCAGGTGCCCGCCACCACACCCAGCTAATTCTTTTGTATTTTTTAAATAGAGACGGGTTTCGCTGTGTTAGGATGGTCTCGATCTCCTGACCTCGTAATCCGCCTGCCTCGGCCTCCCGAAGTGCTGGGATTACAGGCATGAGCCACCGCGCCCGGCCCAGCTGTCATTCTTGAGATGGCACTTCCTTTCAGTCTTACCTTTCCTGGCACCAGACCCAGCAGAAGGCAAAACAACAGGAAGCAGCCCACGACTTTTTCTATTGAGCTTTTTTTTTGGAGCCTGAGGCCCCAGAACCTGCATCTGGAACCTTCTAACTACAGAGGCTGCTCCCAGGGGTCGGCAGAAGGGATGGCATCTCTCCCCGTGTTCTGTGTCATGGGCCCCACCGACATAGTCTCCAAGGTCTCACCGGCAGGTCTTTAGGGTTAACAGTAAATTCAGGAAGCTCCCTACAGACAACGTAGGTTCCTGAATGTTGTCTTCTAATCTAGCTTCAAAGTCTTCACTTACATATGGGGTGTACATTCTTTACTTGGAAAGTGATTTCACAGGAGAATGACTGAAATTTACTCATGAGTAAACCTTTGCATTCTTTCCTCTGAAAAATATTAACATGAGGCCCATTATCAGTCAGTGATCTAAGAAAAGTGGTGAAGACAGAGGCCTAGATCTGTTCTGACTTGGGATTGCCCAGACCTGCAGGGTGAATAGCCTCTGATTTGTACCTTCTGGTGGGTGAGGTAAATGTGCTCCTGGCGGGTCTTATACTCATTGCATTATCTCCATGTAGCATCACATATGTCTTTAAAGCACTGCTCAGCCAGG